AAGATTTGAGTCTTTTTTAAGCTACCCATTTTATAAACGAGTAAATCCAATGCGATACGATTAATAAACGAATCGAATATGTATGAAGTCAATTAAAAGAAATATACGATATGACTAGTTTATATATCGATTCACACATGACACGAATTTAATATAACAAAACTCATTAGACACGAATTAATAAACGAATCAAGTATGAGTGGAATATTAAAAAACACAAACCCGCCTCACTCAACACGATTGAGAGATCTGGTTATGACAAGTCATATTGATAATTTTAGCGTGTACCAATCTTATAGTTTACATTATATTATCTTGGAATAGAATCATTGAGTATGGTACGCGCCTGTAATTGATGTTAGCAATGATTTGTGTCGTGTCAAATTTTAAAAATTAATTAAATAAATATATATTTATCAATTCGACTACGACCCAACTACTTTAAAACTAAAATTAAAATGATGTCAATGTCACATCAAGTTAGCATTTCGTGTTAAGATTTTTCAACCCGAAATACAGAAAGATTAGTTAGGTGTGTTTTGTCGAATTGTAATAAGAGCCAATCAATAATGTTGCTTAAATGTTCATCAATGGAATTTTTAATTCTCTTCATAAGCACTGGATTAATAAATCAGCCATTTACATTCTATATGGTTTAGCTCTTGCCAACGTAAAAGTTACCAAACGATTATGTTCCCAAATCTACAAGCACAAGACAATGATTATTCTTAAATAAAGTTGCAAAGAAACAAAGCACAGTTCCTCTTTTGATTATTCTGGCTTTCCTTAGCCAAATTTATGAGTAAAATATTGGATGCAATGGTGACATTACGTTATTGTTATTATGTGATGTCAACAAATTATAAAATAATTAGGGGGTAATTCGTGTCTAAAGATACGGTACAATGTAAATAGTTTTGAGGCGGATGTTAGTGGCTGTTAGATGAATCTATTTGAGACTGTCGAATAGACTTATTGAAATCTGTCATATTTTCTATTATAGATAAATAGAATTGATGAACTCCATTATTCTAACATGAGATGAGGTAGTTATTGGTAGTTAATAAAACAGTGGAGCTGATTAATAAATCCATTTGGAATTTTATCACTGGTTGGTAACACCACATTATCAATGTCATGTAATGTTACCGTTATATCCAATATTTTTTCAAATTTAGATATGAAGTTGGGAAACTCAATGGTATCGGTAAAAAAAAAATTCAATACTGGTACTGGTACAATCAGTTATTACTGTTTATAGTAAAATTACAATTTTGAAAAAATAAGTCACGACTACCCAATGAAAGACCATTATCAATCATGAATTCTTGATATTGATCTCAATTTTTTACGATCGATTATGTTCTTTAAAATTATAATTTATACTTCAAAAAAATTATAATTTAACCTTAATAATTTATAATTTTTAGTACAATATCTCGGGGGGGTCCCATAGCTTTTACCTAGGACGTTGGCCCTGTCTCCATGATTTGTTAATTGGCAACAAATGACATTTCGACACATCAAACCCGACAACAGTCTCACGTAAATTTTAAAATCCAGAAAAAAATATTCAAAAGTTGGTCTTTTGAATGCCCTAAATAATTGGATCTTTGCTTAAATTAGAAAGTAGAACTGGGTAATGTGCCACGTGTTTATGTGGGTCCCAACCAGGCTGTACCTTAAGCTAGCTAGGTCTGCCAGATCTTCTTGATTAGGTTTCTGTGGCTTTCCACACCCCCATGAAACAACTAGAACATTTGTTGCTTTTATAAATTAGGGTAAGAAAAGAGATATGTAATGTAACTACCCCCTTTGGAATATCTATGCAGTTCTCACCTATACTGAGTAAGTCTTACTTTTTCTAGAGCCCTTACCCTAACCACACCAGTACCCTACTTTGTAGGGAGGAGGAATATCTGAATTTTAATAAAGTATAATTAATGTGTTTGATATTACTCCACTCATTTACAATTTAGAAATAAAAAAATTATCTAATTTTATTAATTTACAAACAAATTGATTGGATTGATGGATTACAAATTCAAATTGACACTCCTAAGGGCTCAGGCTTAAGTTCGCCATGAGTTCGACTCATTTTGGGCTTGTTTAGTCTTGACTAGTTTAAAAAAGAACAAAACTTAAATAATTTTTTAGATTCGATTAAGAAAATAAATGTTTTAAATTTGGCTTGAACTCGTTCAACTATTAACCCTACATATAACTCCTAAGTATTGTAGTCTGATACCTTATCTACGAATAAAATATATAACTAAATAGAGTAATGAAATGTTACACATTTCAATCATGTATTTAGCAATCATGTATTTGGCAATCCAAAGACTAAAAACTAGATAGTGATTATCAATCCTATCCGGTATTTGGTTATGTCATTTATTGTAGGGTATTAATGTTGTAATGATAAAAATACCCTATATCCACTCTAATTCAATATCTAATTTGGTGTATTACTTTTTGAGTAAGTCTAAATCATGAGGACAAAAAACTCTCTAAGAATTATTTGCAATGTTTATTTTGAAAAAAAAATATTGGAGTTAAATAAAAATGTTTTAATTAAATTTTTATATTTTTAGATACTTGATCCATATGATAAAATTAATCTCAAGCTAAAAATGTTGGAAGGATACACATTGTTCAAGGTAGTGGCGGAGTACCTATATATTTTATAAAAAAAATTGGTATATTTCATGGTGTCTAACATATATTTTGTGTACAATCTATCGATTTCTTGTTTTATTAGGTAATATAGACAAATACTTAATTAACTATGAATTTTTAGACCTACTTTACACTTTACGCTGGTGCGAAGTTAGGAATATCTATGAGGGGAAAAATATAATTGAAAATAATTCACTAGTTGATATAAAAAAATTAAGTTCAAGAATGACAAAAAATTAAGGCTCAAAACAAAATTATTATAAAACAGTAAATTCAATTTTTATTTAGCCGAATGAAGAAAAAATATAACATTCTTTAAAATCTTTAAAATTTTGTATATTAATAAAATATAAATTAATTTTTCATTATTCTGTCAATGCACACAATCACAAGTTCATAGTAAAATTATTCTTCATTTAGTTGAGATCATTATCGATTTTATAAAGAAATTCCCTATTTGAAATAGCTTGAAATGTTTTTGGATTTTAAAATTTTGTCTTTTGTATATAATTATATTTTATTGGGTTATAAACTACTATAACTAACAAAGAGCAATTACATAGATTCAAAAAACTAAACTTAAAAATTGTTCTTAAAGAACATTGTGTTGGATAAAAACAAATATTGTATTTTAGTCAATATGCAAATAGATCAGGATAGTTACATCTGATTTACTAAATCTAAAAATAATTTTTTTGTTTTAGAGAGTTAGTGTACCACTAATTTATTGAAAACAAAAAAGAGTAGAACCACTTTTATAATTTTTCAAAATTTAAGGGAACAAATATAATATATTAAATAATTTTATGAGTTCTCATCTAAGGTGGTCCAAAAATTGGGGAGGGGGGCAAGTGCCCACCCTGGTCCCCATGTGGCTCCGCCCCTAACTTTACGGACACATCTAAATAAATATTTAATATGTTGAATTTATTTTTTTAAGTTATAAAAATTGTGAGAATTAAGTTATATAATCAAAAGAGTGAATTAATTATTTATATAGAGAAAAATATTCTCCATAGTAAAGTTTTTAAAATTTTGTAAATAATTATAATTAGCCTCACTCTCAATTTTACTTTTTTTTTTGTTTATGCTATGCATATCAATGTTGAACTATTTTGTATCTAATATAAGTTTGAGTGTCAAATATAATATAATTAGCCTGAAGACACAAAGTAATAAAAAAAATAGTCAACAATAAATATATTTATATTTACATACAAAATCAAATCACAAATATAAAAAAAAATTAAACAGTGATTGTATTGGGGGTGAACAGTTGTAGTGGTGGTGGGGTGGTGACGGTAGTAGTGATGGTCATGGGGGTGGTGGTGAGGCGATAGGGATAGTGATAGTAGGAGTGATGATAGAACAGTGGCAATAGTGGTGGGATGGAGGTGAACAATCCCACAATCCAGACCAAAAAAACCCATGAACAGCTCCATAATCCTAATAAAATAAGCGGACAAGAGCTTTAATTGCATGCTCTTTGAATTGTCTACACAACCCAACGGCGATGAAAAAACCCAAAAGAGTAATATTGAAAAAGTGAGCAATCTAAAAGCTATTATAAGTAATCTACTTTAACTATTACTCAACTTAACTATTGATATACTCCACCCCTCTTGGAGTACCTAATTTATTTTTTTAGTTATCTCTCGAATCCCTTTACACATTTTCTTTGTTATTTATATTAAAGTTTAAAAATTATCATTCTTGAATATTTACACATTTAATTATATTATCGATTTACTACTATTTATATTAGTATTATGATATTTTAAGGCTAATACGACATAGAAGAAAAAATGAATATATTAATAAGAATATGTGGGATATAATCAACATTACAATAATAGTTGGGGATAAATTAAAAATTCAAAAAAATAAATTACTGACATATATAAGTAAATAGATAGATAGATTGATAGAAAACTACAAAGCTTTGTTGATTTGAGCAGAACTAAAATGAATTAGACTCACTAGCAGTGACAATCTGTTCTTCTAAAATTTAATCCTTTGATCAAATATAATTCTAGGGTGCCCCCAAAAAGTGTTGGTGCCATATTGAAATCCATCTACAGCCGTTGATCTTGTTTTGATTGATTTGTAACTATTGATTGTAAAAAAGATAAAGTAAATATAAAATAATATAATAATAAAATTTTACATTGTCAAGATTTTATTGGATGAAAAGTGAATGTACCGTCGCATCGGGAATCCTTAGATCAAATACAGAATGTTCCACACAAAGATAATGACCACTTCTGCGAAACCACAAGAAGATTACAGAGTTCAGGATAGGAAAAAAATGTAGCACCAAGTCATTGAGACGAGGTTTTGTCTTCCTTCTGTTGCAAGTACCTATCATAAAGGATGCAAGTGTATAAAGATAGGGGGATCAACATAAGTAAAAAACCACTCAAAGTGGGAATGGCTTGATCATGACACAATCCAAAAGGCCAACATTCACTACATAACAATTAAGCCAACTCAATATATAGCAGTGAAGATAGGGGCAATCAAAGGCTAATGTTATTGTGTCCCAATCAAAGGCTAATGTTAATGTGTCCAGACATGCTCATCATGTGTGCTTGGGTGAATGAAATTCTAAAGGTATATACTTGTACATAAATTTCAGCCTACCGAGTAATATATGTTTTTATGAAAAATTCGAGAAATGTAAATAGGCAACAAAACATACCGTGTCATTGGAAGTTCCCTCTGTTTTACTTCTACACATACTTCGACTCTTCTCCAGAAGCCAAAAACAACACTCTTGGTGATCAAGAGGTTTGAACACAAGAGATCACGTAAAACAACAATTGTTACATAAAGTATGTAATCAAGATTGCCAAACTGACCCTTCAATTGATCAGTGATTGCCATTCTAAGCATCTGATTATATGCAACCAATTTTTTTCTCCATGACAACACCTATGGCTCAGGCAAATATTTTAAGTCAAGTAGCCTAGATGCACCGATTTGCAAACAAAAACTAAAACGGTTCTATGTGGTCAGTGTCACATCTATATTTCAGTAGCAAAATATATTCTGCCATCGGACTTTCCCCCGGTTACAAATGATGAAGTTCAGAGTTTCAAAGAAATGAAGAAGATAAAGATAGAGAATTTTCATTCTTGATTTATTTCCTTACACACTTAATCTATACATGATGTTGTATTTATACACAATTCTTAGGCTACCTAACTGTCAATTTGTTATAGATCTTGCTGAGCTGGACAGATAAGTGGAGTTAGTTACAACAGCTTCACTTGTGTTGATCAGCAGGATTTGGTTGAGCTGCTCCAATGTGCTGAGGTTCACTGTAACTAACTGTGAGTAGGCTCAGTTGGTTAATACACCCCCTCAAACTTGTTTTTGCGTGGGGTGGGGGGGAGAACAACCATAAGTTTGTCTCTGAGCATCAAAAACCTAGTTGTGGGAAGACTTCAGGTGAAAATATCAACTAGTTGATCCTTGGTAGAGATATAATGGACTGAAAGAGATTTCTGAGCTACCCTCTCACGAATAAAGTGAAAGTCAATCTCTATGTGTTTGGTTCTAGCATGGAACATTGGATTTGAGGCAAGAGCCAAAGCTGAAATAGTATCACACCAAAGCTTGGGAGTAGAGGAAGGTTGAATATGAAGCCTCTGTAGCAGTTTTTGTACCCAAATAACCTCAACTGTAATATGAGCAAGTGCTCTGAATTCTGCCTCTGTGGATGATCTGGAGACAGTCTGCTGCTTCTTAGTGGACTAGTGAATGGGATTATCACCCAAATAGAGAAGAAAACCTGCGGTAGATCTTCGATCATTAGGATCTCCTCCCCAATCAACATCTGAGAATGCTGAAAGGCTAAGAGAACTAGGTTGATAGAGAAGACCAAATGTGTTTGTTCCTTTAAGATACATGAGAATACTTTGACTGCCGCAAAATGGATGTCTGTAGGCTGACTCATGTATTGACAGACATGATTAACAACATAAGTGATATCTGGTCTAGTGAATGTAAGGCACTTAAAAGAACCAACTAGACTTATATACAATGAGGGATCTGGTAGAAGAACACCAGCAATCTTGCTAAGTCTAGAGGAGGCTGCTGAAGGTGTTTTGCAAGGCTACAGTCAACCATCTTGGATTTGTGAAGCAAATCATTAACATACCTCTGCTGAGTAAGAAAAAGTCCTGAGGATGTGTTTTCAACTAGTATTCCAAGAAAGTAATGAAGAGGACCTAAGTCTTTCATCTCAAAAGTTTGATGAAGATTGGACTTAAGGGTTTGAATGTATTTGGTTGGAATCAATACCAGTGATGATAATATCATCCACATAAAGAAGTAAGATGGTGAGAGAGCCTGAGACAGATCTAATAAATAAAGATGGATCAGCTGGAGAAGCATGAAAAGAATTAGTACTAAGATGTGTGGTGAATTTTTCAAACTAGGCTCTAGGAGCTTATTTGAGACCATAAAGAGATTTGTGGAGTTTGCAAACATAATGAGGAGTAAGAGGATCAATGAAACCTGAGGGCTGGGTTATATAGACATTCTCATGAAGAGAACCATGCAAAAAAGCATTCTTGACATCTAACTGGTGGAGAGGGCCGAGAGGCCAATTAAAATTTGTAGGAAGGGCAAAAATGAGTTTGACAGTAGCATGTTTCATCACAGGGCTAAAAGTTTCATGGTAATCAATGACAGGCTCTTGATGAAAGCCTTTAGCAACAAGTCTTGCTTTGTACCTAATGATTGAACCATCAGAATTTTATTTGATTCAATAGACCCATTTACAACCAATAAGATTCTGATGAGGAGATGGTGGAACCAAGGACCAGGTACCTTGCTGCGGCAATGCAGAAAACTCTTCAGACATAGCTTGTCTCCATTCAGGAGACTTGGATGCTGAGGTGAAGGACGTAGGTTCAGCCAGAGTTGTAGTGGTTGAGTAGACCTTTGGTTTGAAAATACCAGACTTGGATCTTGTTGTCATGGGATGAGTAGAAGGAATTGTGGCTAATGAAGGTAAAGCTGGAGGTACAGACACTGAAGACTCCGTGAGAACAGGACTGGAAGGTAAAGTATGTGATGTGGTAGCTGGTACGACATTAGAAAGAGAAGATGGTGGCATTTAATTTGGAGACTGAGATGACTGCTGGACTGAAGACAAGTGATGAATAAGAAAAGGAGACACATCATGCTGGGCAGAGGAAGGATGTGGTCCCAACACTGAGGGTTGAGGTGTGAATGTGTCATTAGAAGAAGGCAACCAGTGATCAAGATGAGGAGTAAATTGTGGAAAATGAGCAGAATCAGAAAAAAGGAAACAAAAGGATAACCTAAGAAAATGCATTGGGTTGTTTTAGCTTTGAAGTTTATGTTTGGTATAAGATTTGAGAAGAGGATAACATTCACATCCAAATATTTTAAGAGTTGAATAATCTAGTCTAGTGTGATAGAAAAGTTCAAAGGTGATTTGGATTTTGTAGTTTTACTAGGCATCCTGTTAATGAGATAAGTGGCTGTAACAAATCCATGAAACCAAAAGGGTGGAGGCAAAGATGCTTTAGACAAGAGAGACAAAGCAGTTTCAGTAATATGCATGTGCTTCCTCTCAGCAATATCATTTTGTTCAGAGGTGTGAGGACAGGATTCATATGATGAACACCATATTGACTTAGATAGTGCTGAAGCTAAAGACTAGTAAATTCACCACCACCATCGGATTGAAATACTCTCAATTTATGAGAGAACTGATTCTCAACATAAGGCTTAAACTTAGCAAAAACAACAAAGGTATCAGATTTATTTACTAATGGAAAGATCCATGTAGATCTGGTAAAATCATCAACAAATGAGATGTAATATCTAAAAGCATGAAGTGAAACTTGAGGTGCAAGACCCCAAATATCACTATGTACAATCTGTAAAGGAGATGTAGAAAAAGACTTAGACAGAGAAAAAGGAAGCTTAGAAATCCTCCCATATAAACAGTGCTCACAAATGCGGGAAGTAGGTTTAACAAAAGAAGTAGGTAGATTCAGTTGAGAAAGAATCTGTTGTTGAACAGAAGTAGATGGATGCCCAAGGCGATCATGCCAAGACTGATCAGCGATCCTTGCACCAAGATATGCAGTAGGAGAAGAGTTGAAATTGTTGAAAGCATTGGTTGGATACAAGCTATTGCTACTCTCACCTTTGTAAAGGACTTGCCCTATGGCTTTGTCCTGAATGACAAAAGAATTAGCATCAACTATGAATTGACAATTATTATCAAGACATCATTGATTGACAGAGAAGAGATTTGTAGCAATTGAAGTCACGCGAAGGAATTTGTTAAGTTTGAAGCAGTGAGAACGAGTTTGAAGAAGAGATAGACCTGTATGAGTGATAGGTAACTCATGTTCGTTTCCAATAGACACTTTGTCTTCACCAAAATAAAGAGAGACAAGAGACAGATTTGCAAGGCTTGAAGTGATGTGATGCGAAGCACCAATATTAGTAAGCCAAAAATTTGGACTCTATTGACTAGATGTAGTAGCCATAGCAGTGTAGGGTGAATATTCATATGTAAAATCATTGGGATTGAACTGCTGATTAGGAGAATAGTCTGAAGTAGCAGTCATAGCATTAAATGAAGCTGAGGATTGATATTTTGGCCCTGATAAGCAGTATTCATGCGATGATAATAAATTGCAGCATTATGACCAATTTTATTGCAGATCTGACAAGTAACTGGTGGAGATCTGTTCTGGTTGTATTGATTTGAGCATAATTGTCAAATTGCGTATCGGAAGACATATTGTTTTTCAAAAATAGTGTATCGTATCGTGTAGCATAAGTTTTAAATAATTATTATATATATACCTTTGTAAAAAAGTCATAAACTCATAATAACATAGTATTTCATTAATATTTCACTAACTATTCAAGTTTCCAACATAATTAAGTAATATCAAAATGCAAAGACCTCTAATTCAAATTTCTAATATCAACTGCTTAAACAACCTTAATATTAATCAAGAATTTTGAATTTAATTGAACAATATTAACATCAAACTTTATTTTTTTTTAAAACTATAACCACTAAAGCGGTATTGTTTTCATTGGCTAGTGATTTAAAAATAAGTTCTGGGGTAAAATGATATTATTTTACCCCTAAAAAATAAAAAAATAAAATCTTCTTGTATCGTACATATCGTATCATGTATAGTACGATACAATGTAAAAATAATACAAAGACAAGATACGTATCGTTTTTCAGCTGCATCGTGACGTATCGTACGATACTAATAAATTTGGATTTGAGCTAAACTTTTGCTGCTGTGTATTGAATATGTTATTGTGACCTTCTAATTTCTGCCTCCTCTATTACCATTGCGACCTTTGTTTCCTCTTCCTTGACTTGAATAGTTTCTACCATTGTTGTTATAGAAGGGTTGTCTGATTTGTGGTGCTATCATGGCAGTAGGATTGAAATAACTCACTTGCGACTTTGAGTTGGCTTTGATGGATAGTTCTTCAGCCTTAAGAAGAGTGTAGATCTTCCAAAGAAAGTGGTTGTGATTTGGTTTGAATTGCAATCCGGAAGGTACTATATTCAGCTAGCAATCCATTCAAGGTGTATATAAGCAGATCTTTATCTTCTACAAGAACTAAAACTGCTACAAGCTTATCTCAAGACTCATTTATTTTCTGCAAATACTCATCTATAGATTCTGTTCCTTTCGCAATTGTTTGTAAAGCAATCTTAAGCTGCAAGATATTTGCTCGAGATAATGAAGAAAACCTTCTTTCCAAAGCTAGCCAAACTTCTTCGTAAGTAGTGTACATGTCTAATAGCTGACTGTGAGCGAGTAGCATTTATTAGTGTCATTAGTGCTTGGTCTTGGACTCTTGGACAATCCACTGCTGATATTATGGATTGATTTCGGTAGTAGCTGTACCATTTTCATCAGGAAGAAATTGCACTGGACATGGATTTGATCCATCAAGAAAGTTGAAAAGAGAATGAGCACGTAACAGTACAAAGATCTGAAATCTCCATGACACATAATTTGGAGAATCGTGACGAAGAGATATCAGGTTACAAATATTTGACAGAACATAGATCGGAGACTGAGATGAGACTGTGTTTATAGTAGTTGAAGACGAAGAAGAAAAAGATGAAGGAGAAGTACCTCCTGAATTTGTTGCCATTGATACAGACGTTTGTCTAATTTACAGCTCTAATACCATGATGAAGTTCAGAGTTTCAGAGAAATGAAGAAGATAAAGACAGAGAATTTTCATTCTTGATTTAATTCCTTACACACTTAATCTGTACATGATGTTGTATTTATACACAATTCTTAGGCTAACTAACTGTCAATTTCTTACAGATCTTGTTGAGCTGAACAGATAAGTGGAGTTAGTTACAACAGTTTAATGTGTGTTGATCGGCTGGATTTGGTTGAGCTGCTGCAGTGCGCTGAGGTTCACTGTAACTAACTGTGAATAAGCTTAGTTGGTTAATAACAAACACTTGGACCCTTCTATGCCAAAAAGGCAGGGAATGCTTACCGACACCAAAGCCATTCTGCTCATCCCTATTTCAAGGAGGGACCTGTCTCGATGATCAAGAGAGATTAAGCAGATGAGATTAAGTAAAACAACATATGTTTTCTCCATGTAGGGAGTCGGCCAGATTGCCAAACTGGCCCTTAGATTGGCCGATGCTTTGATATCTTGGTTATCTCACATATGCAACCAAATTGTTTTTGTGGTGCAACCAACAGCTATGGCACAGGCAAATTTTTATGTCAAACGGTCTAGATATTTGATTTAGAATAGGCCAACAACAGAGTCCAAGAAAGGCCGGACGGAGGAGTGTGGTAATTAGATTCTGATCACAAAAGAGGGATGAAAACAAAGCAAACACACAAAGATATGCAATTGCCATCACTTCGTCAGTTACTTACCCCTGACCCTTTGCCCAACGGGAGAGTTGATAGAGCTGCACTGATTCATTTGAGGCATGGCATGCGAGAAGAAGATAGTTGCGAGGCTGTACCATCCATGCAAATCTCATGAATAAAGCAGAATATACGCACATTGCTGCAGTAACAAAAAGGAGGTATGATTAGAATAATAATCATTAAAGTCCACCTTCCTTTTAAATCAGATATTTGCAACCTGCAGTCATGTTGCCAGATATCATTTCCGGGGGTTTCTGCATGTCCACTAGCCCCTGCCAAGTCCACCAATTCAGTTTTCAGAAATAAAGTCATACGATGTTGCAACCAGTTTAAAATTTATTTACAAGATCTGCAGTAAATAGTAAAGCAGTAAGCGACTGTATCAGGCATCATAAGTGCAGAAGCGTACAGCAACGACAAATCCCCAGTTGGCTACAGGACCCCAGAAATGAGTTGTTTTGGGGCCTACGGGACTGTTCAAAAATGCTCGGAAGGAAGCCATAGATATATGTACCTCTGCTGCAATGGTTGCAATCACAAAGTCAGACATTTAGCTTTAATGAAATAAGATTTCAGTTCTCCATAGGTGAGAGTATATTACTTGCAGGAAACCAGTTAGGTTGTAAAAATCAAAACACCCATATAATAATTAGATCAAACAGATGCAAAAGCTTATAGAAAGGTATATTTCAATTTCATATACAACTAAAATGAGATTAATGACAGAGTGTAGCATGCCAATATTGAGAAATAAAGTAATGTAAAGACTAGCCTATTCTGATGACAATTTTACAAATTATTCTCTCAACTCTAACAGCAAAAAAAATTCTGGGACCTTTTGAGAATAAAAAAGAAGTTTACAGACAGCCTTTTGTAATATCTCTTATGCGGACATAGCGATATTACACGGATCTAGATCCCCTTCGATACATTTTCTCTTCAATTCCCTTGGTGTATCATTCACAATTAAGGAGTGAGGAGCCCAATTGTATATAATGGGTCCACTTGAATGCATGGGTAGACGTGTACCAATAAGGAAATTGAAGAGAAAATGTACTGGAGGACATATCACCCCATATTATGCAGTCACTATTAAACTTAGAATTAAGCACACTAAAAGGTTCTAGATTCAAACGTTGGTGCAATCACTTTGTGCATGTTAAGACCAATAGCAAATCAAATAGATTAGAATATCAGTTTAAATCTATATGACCAAAAAAAATGGCACTCTACAAATACATAGGTTTTTGTTTTTTGAACAAATACAAATACATAGATTAAATATGAAAATTTGTTGTGAATGTAATGGAATTTCAATTTGATAAGCCAAACCCTAATTTCAGGGAATCAGACTTAGTGCAATAACAACAACAAATATGAGTAAAATCGAGTCCTAGCAACATCGGTTCTGCGCAATAACTAACAGATATACATCGGTGAGTGCATATGTTTGTGCCTATTTGTGTGTGTGTGAGTGAGAGAGAGAGAGAGAGAGAGAGAGAGAGAGAGAGATGATTCGAAGTCTAACCGCAATCGGAGATCTCCGGAGGGGGAAGGAGGAACGACGACTTTGATTTGGTGGTCGCGAAGCTAAAGGAATAGTTGTTGGGGAGGGATGATTTGGTGGTGCTTAGACCAGGGAGGGTTCGAGCCCCCTTTTCGGGCTAATATCACTTACCTCGTCCTTGATGTATATAATTACAATGGAACCACAAAATGTTTCTGATAAAATCTTCCAACCTTTTAAATCAAGTTTTATGTGTTTCGGATTTCATCCAATACAATTTTTCTTAATTGTTCTTATCACCTACCATAAACCATTTCACATAAGTGAAAACTCTAATACTACACAATGAGTGATAAATCATTGTGGGAAAGATTTAAAAAAATGTGTATTAGAAAAAATATAGGTTCGAGTTGAGATATTATTTAGAGTTGAATTAGTTAATTCAATCGCATCAAAAGTGGCCCAACATAAATGGGGTCTTAGGCGAAAATTTTACATGGCCCTATTAATATTTCTTGTATTAGTTACTTTTTGAGATAATAAAAATATTGTTCTAAGTTCTTATATTCAAATTTTGTTAATAAATCTTTCTCGTAACATAGTTGACCATAAATAAGATTTTATTAATTTAAATTTTGAAAAAATTCATCTCTGTTGAAGTGATTGTTACCGGTATAGTTAACAAAATTCTATAAGCAACACATTCAATCGGAAAAAAATATATTCTTTCTATGTAGTTTAATATTTCAATTGGAGTGTTAATTTCATTACACTAAAAGGGTAAAATATTTGGGCACTCTCTAAAATTTCGTACCTTAGGTGGCCTATGCCTAAGGCCGGCCCTGATCTCCTCGTGTTAATGAGTATGTGTGTTTTCTCCGAGTGCACGCAGGTAAGAGTTAATAAAAAGAAAGTTGATGCTTTCATCTACAACAGGATTTGATCAAGTGCTAGAAAGTTTTGATTAAAATGTGATAGAAAGGTTTGTTCCCGATTTAGAAGGGTTGATTTTCATGCTTGAATCTTTTAGAATTGTCATCATTTCAAATGCCACAGCTTAAGAATGGCTATTGCTGTCAAGACCATTTATGTTTCTTTTGCAAGCAAGGCAAACAGCATCAAGTTCAATCTCTCACTCTCTCTCAATTGCAAATCTATTAAGTGAATCAAAGGGTGGCTTATTCATTTGGCTTAATCCAGTCTAGTTCTTGAAGCTAATTCCCAGGTCTATTGAATAGTAAATTCATCTAGCAATGACAGTATGCTCACTGCAATTCATCACCATTAAAAAAGAAAAAGAAAATGCTTGTGAAATCTGTAATCCAAAGCTGCAAGGGGGGGAAAAAGATCACCTTGTGTTGAACTTTCTCTGAGAGAGAGAAAATTGATAGGATATCATATCAACAAACAACTATCTGTCCTGCAGTTAGGGGGTTCCTAACGAATCGAAAGTTATCTCAATTTGTTTACAAATTGTGAGCCTCAGTATTTACAAAACAATCGTGGCGTGTTTCAGTGCTTACACATGCATTCAGGCACCGGGTAAGCTAACACATCTCGATCTCTCCTGTCAGTCCTCAGCTCGGGATGGCCCCGAGATTTTCTGTGCAGGTTTCTCATGATGCTGCTGAATTTTGCATTAGAAATGGATGCTTCTTCAAAGAAAGGAAGCATCATGCGCTTATTGGGCTTTATATATTTCCTATGTCCCACATATGCACGGTGGCCCTGTGCAGTAAACAACAAAAACATGAAATTAAGGCTCACTATATGCTGTTCCTGTTCCAGAAATGCTAGCATTGACAACTTCACAGATCAAAAGCAATTTGTGTCCACTACCCCTGATATTCTGCCCATAGGAAATAGTTTTGGTGGTGTGACTTGGCCTGTGAATCAAAATTGGTAAACTAGAAAAAGGAATGATTGCGAGGAACAAAAGAAACCAAGCATGCTAGAATTTAATCAAAAAGACATGTTTTTGGCAATTTGTCATTGAAAAGTTGGATCATTAGAAGTGAATTTGCTTTGTTAAGAAAAAGACGGGTTTTGAGACATTCAAGGGGGTCGAATGAAGAGAGTCATCCGCCAAATCCAACAGGTATGAGCTTGCATATGTACCTGCATAGCTCGGCCCATGTTACCACCATGGGAAGGTAGAAAGACATCGCTGCTCAGTGAGACGATGTAGTCTGCTGCTGCTAAAGCAGATGATCTGTTGATGTATGGTGTAAGCTCACCATCTCTTGCCAACAAGTTCTTTGTCATAACATTTGGAAACTCTTCCACAAGAGGCTGCAAGGCCAGTCTGCCCCCAAATGGTTCTCCTCCCGCAATATAAATTCGTGCAGTTTTTGGTGCACCCAAAGCCTTGAGGAGTCTGCTTTTCCACCATATTTAAGTCTCTTTAGTCATAGTCATAAAAGCAAATGAAGTGCAGCTTATAAATATAGTCATACACTAAGGTTTCTAATATACCTTGCCACTTCTAATGCATTAAGAGGACATAATCCCATGAGCCTTCGCTGAGCATAGCTCATGTTCAACCTTCCAGTGAGGAATTCAGGGCGAGATTCCCGATCACTGTTGATGATGTCATCATATTCTGGGCCTAAACCAGTAAGACATCCACTTCTGATCCACACATCCTTTTCTAGCCTGAGATGAATGGCAATATATGGACCTTCAATCCACATTCTGCGAGCAAGCCGGTTCCCAAGCTCCCGAATTGGAGCTGCAAATCTTAGTGCATGGAAAGCTACCTGACAGATAATATGGGAATGTGAAAGGCTGTAGTGGTGATGACTTTTTTATAAACTAGATAGGAATTGATTGTTTTTATCTACCTTGCATCGAAGCTTCTGAAGATCAGTGGGCAGATTCTTGGAGAGCTTAGAATCTAGCCCTTTCAGTACAAGAAGACCTTCTTCATTCAGCTATAGGAACCAAATACAACAGTCTATGAATAATGCAGCCATTCTAGATGCAACAGAAATGTTAAGCTCAGTGAGAAATTGGCTGAATTATATGAAATATTTTAAAGGACATTTAAGAAATGTCGAACTTAGAGCAATGACAAGTGCTCGTTTGCCTAACGAATATTGATTCAAGTTCGCAAATCAACCTATCTGCTAAAATGGTACCCATGGTCTGTGGGAATTATATTTCCATTAAACCAATACAGTGCATATTCAACTAAAATGAATTCAAACTTCCATTCAACCACCAAATCACACCTTTTACCTTCCCCAAACCTTAGATTCACTTCTTGCCGTGAAAAATGATTTAATTTGGAAGAACAAAGTATTAGAGGTTTTCTTACTTCTTTGAAAAATCTGGCACGAATCCAAAGCGGAGGGACATGGAAAGGAATTTGAGTTTCAATTGACTGTCTTGAAACCAAATGTGTGGATGGAAGACTTGATACGAGTCGAACGTCAGCTTGTAAAGTCTTCTTGAAATGTTCAACATCAAAAATGTCTGAAAATTCACTGCAAGATTAAACATAAAGGATAATAAATCACACCATAATCAACAAAAACATGTTTATCAATAATTTCTTTCCACCCATTGTACAGATTTTCATAGAAGTTGCAAGTTACAGACTCAAATACAATCGGATTACCATACATGACTTAGCAATTCCACTAAATTACAGTCCAAAAGAACCAAAGGGGGGGGGGGGGGAATTCTTTTTACCTTTCATCTCCCCAAATGGGATTAACCTGCAAAACTGGAACAACCAATGCGGCTCCAAGAATTCTGGCTATAACAACTGCATCAACAATCTGATTTCTCTGCTGGTTTAGTCCTCCTGAAACCACCACGACCAAGAACCTCCTCTTCTCCTTTGAAATCCTGACCGATGCTTTTCGATACTCAAGGCTAAAGTTCAAGCATGGCCTGTACCCTTCTCCATCAGGCTGCTCCCAGAACTCTCTCTCCTCATCTGAAAGATTTCCAGACAGCCTATGGGGTGGCAATGGCACCATCACACTGTTGGACAGTCTCGGCTTATCATCGTCGTGAGTGTCTGAAACTATAGCTGAGAGAGAGGCTAAGAGCTGGGGTGAATAAGAAGGTGAGAGAGACGGGAAAGAAAATGAAGTGAATGTAGATGAAGGAGAGATCAGAGAACATGGCGATGAATTCTGGAAAATGAGTATGAAACTGAGGATGAAAATCCCCAAGAAAGTGAAGAAGATGAAGAGAGAGATGTAGAAGATTGAGAGGGTTGGTGATGGACAGAGATGATGGTTTCTTGGGCTCTTTTTGGGAGAGAGGAGTGAATTGAATGGAAAAAGTGAGAGTAAGTGAGGGAAAAAATATGGGTTGAGAGATATGAGGGAGTTCTTGATGTTCTTGGTTTTCGCCATGAAAGCTGATCTCTGAGCTTGCAAATTGGTAGAGAGGTAAACGAGGAAGAGAGACAATGGAGGAAATAACAGAATTAGTTGCAGGTGCGTACTTAAACGTCAAATGTACCCTTGTCGTCTTGCAACTGTGGTGAAAAATTGAATTAAATTGCATATGAAAAAGGGAATTTGTGAAGGGTATTCCTGTCAAATAACTACTTTGGATGACAAGGCGGTTATCTTTTATAGTTGGAGATCCTTTGATTTTCGCGGGAAAGACCATGCTACCAAACTATATAAATATATAGATCTGTTAATATGATAAAATTGAGTGATTGTTCAATGAATTGACTCAAAATTCAAATGCAAGTTGTTAAATTCGCCTCAATTAATTTATGAGTAATACTATTTAGACATAAGAATTTGATCTAATTTATTGACATAATGACGTTGTTAGAGAAGAATCATTGGATTAACATTAAATTTTAATGTTTGATGGATCTCATATTTAATCAAAGGTCATAGTGAATCAGATCAGTAAATTAGGTTCCAATAACATTGCTCTTAATTTAATAGCATCAAACCTAATTTTCAAATCGGATATATGATTTTCAACCCAATGCGAAAACTGTTTGAAAAAACAAAATTTGTCATTTGATCAGTTTCAATTGAAAATCTATAATAAGACTCAGATTAAACGAAAATCCGATCCATTGAAAGATACGTTTTATAGTTTTATCTATTCCAATAATTGTGAAAAATGAACCCACTTTTGTCATATGTCTGATTTATTTATCAAGCAATGAACAATTCCATTTTAATTTCAATCCAGAATTTCATCCAAAATTAAAATAACTATTCATCCATGTAGTATGTAACCCTTTTTATGTAAGATAATGAGATCCACTTTATTTATTTTTTGATTTTCTTATTATACTCCACTAATAGAGCATAAAGTCAAATGCATTACACCTTTCATTGTCCCCAATACTTGATCTCGTGATTATTTAGTTTTCGAGACTTCCATCCAGTACGTTTTTGTCACTAGACATAATAAATCAAGCATGATTGATCAATTTCTACAACCATCTGACAATCGTGTCAAGTCATGTAAAATGGTGTCAAATTTTAGTAAATTCGTATTAAAAATTACATAACTTAAATTCGTATTAAAAATAAATAAAAATCACAAAATCGAACATGATTCATTAATGAAACAAATTACACGACATGACTCGTGTTACGACTATTTCTACAACACAAAATTTTTAATTTAAAACCATAATTTTGCAACAAATTTGGCAATCTATTAAACTAGTAATAGAGTGATAAGCGGATATCTATATTACCCACTGATAAAGATGGATTTGAGTCTGAGCCTCTTTCTATGAGCTCAAAATCTCTAGTGGGCTCATCAATGACAATCCAAGCGACCCTTCTGAATAACATCTTTCATATCCAAGTTGGACTACAACCCAAATCAGCTCCAACAAACTCAGCGATAAGCTTTTGCTCGAGAGTTTGAGCTCGGCACTAAACAGATTTGAGATAACCCCAATCGCACCACATGGAAAGGGGATAGGGGGACAATGCCTGACAACTCCAACGAACGAATATTTACCGATAATGAAGATACCTTATACATTCCGTTTTAGGGGTGATGGGCACAAATGAGGAGGGGGACCACACAATTAGGCAAAAAAAGGAAGAAGCATTATGGAAACCCTAATAACAAGATATATAAATAGAAGATGATAGTACTATGAAAGAGAGAGAGATATCAATAGAGAAAAGAATAGAAGAGAGAGAGGCTATCAGAGGCAACTTAGGAATTTTTTTGTAAAAGGGCACTCAGCCAAATCAACTGTAACTATAACATTCTTCCCCAAGTAATGTTATCCTCAAAGAGTAAGAGTCTTCCATTATAGTGGAAATAGTCTTAGTCCTTTGAGCACCATCACCCACCAACCGAACATGACTTATTTATTACGCGAGTTAGAAAAATCTACTGGTTTATCACCTGAACCCATTAAAATCAAACTCAAACCTATTAAATTTGTGTTGAATAATAAGATTTTATTGTATTTTTCTAGACCTAATCAAGTTTCTCTTGGAAACATTAGGGGAGCAATGGCCCTTGGGCTTATGGTAGTTCTGCACTGATTATTAGGTATAAAAAATCTTGTTATAAGGTATAGAAAAAATGTCAATTGAACCGAACACAATCTAGAATCTGGAATAAGAATAATCTCACCTAACTCATGAACATAACCTTAGAAAATAACTAGCCAGCATTAACCCATATCCCAAACACACCATCCAATAATAACAGGTGAAACAATGAAACATGAAAAAAAAAATCGTATAGTAAGGGCAAATTGCACCAATAATCCCTGAAATTTATCACTCATCGTAATCTAGTCCTTAAATTTTAATTTCGCCCTCAAAGTTTAAATATTTAGTCAATGTTGCCCTTAACACTAACTATCGTTAAAAAAACAAATAAAAAATATCATGTGCGTGCCACGTGCATTTCTTTAAGCATATTTTAGGGTAAATTTTTTTTGGAAGAAATGATAAAATTGAAATCTCTCCCTCTCTCTCTCTCTTCCCTCAAAACTCAAATGCCTCGCCCCAACCATATTTACCCACCTTCCTCCGCCCTCTATAAACTCCCCATTGTCAGTTGCCACCACCTTCATTGCCTCTTCACCATCCAAAATTCGTCCATCACCACCTTCCCCGCAAGCCAACTCAGTTAGCTAGTAGTAACACAAACACCTTCTCTCCTCTATTACCTATAAGCCAACCACCACCTCTACTTACACACCCAAACCCCACCACTGCAATCTACACCACTAAAAAACAAACACAAAATCTCAATGAACCACACCAATTTTAGAGAATGAATCAGAGGTTCAAGAGAGAGAGGGAGAGAGAGAGAAAATTAGAAAGAACGAAGTGGAATCACAAGTGGAATTCAACATCCAATTCAAACCGAATTCTTCATTACTCTAATTATGGGGGGTCATATTGTGTATCTCTATGCATGTATGCATTTGGGAGTTTGTGGGATTTGTGAGTTTGAAGAAAAGGGGCGTTTGTAGGTTTTGAGATTCAAGAGAGAAAGAGAAACAAATAGAGGGATTTTGTGGATTTTGAGGGAAATGAGCGAACATAAACGAATTGGAGAGAGAGACGGAGTAAAAGGTGCAGAGAGAGGGATTTGTGGAGTTTAGGGGCAAGGAAAACATAGACGAATTGGAGGGGAAGATAAAGAGAAGGGAGATGGCTAAACCAGTGACCCCAGATGCGATTTTGATCATACTATCAAACCCATCTCCAGATTCTTCATCAAGCAACTGGTCCATCCTCTTTCTCATGCTATCGGATAATACACAAAAATGTGTTTATGCACTACCTGTCAAGTATTTAATGCAGTAATAAATAAAGAGAGTCGACACAAGTAAAACACAATTTAAGTGGTTCGGTCAGGGTAATTTACTCCACTATGAAGGGTTAGGATGACCAGAGTGTTTTATTACTTAAAGGAGTGTAGGGTGCTCAAGTATGAGTGATAGGTGTGAGATGCCCCCTTGTGTAAGTGGACTTACAATTTATTGCCCCTCCTAATAGATTGAGACGTCTTTCTCGTATCAAGTGAGGTGATTTGATGGAGGTGGTGCTCTTCTTGTAACAAGTGAGATAATTTCGTGGAAGTGGTAATGTACGTGTCCCAAGGAGACCTATTCACCTATCAGTTATGGATTTAATCTCTCGCTATGAAGCGATTGACCTGATTCTCTCTCAAGATGGCGCGGTGTACCTAGCTTCCTCCTTCTTGCAGTAAACCTAACTTGCATTCTTAAACTGGACCTCTGAATTGGGTCTCATCTGTAATTCTGGGTCTGGTCCATAATTTTGGGGCGGGCCCATCACTATCTATATTTTCAGGGGCTTGCAAATGACTCTATCACCAGATAACTTGTAACATTAAAGGCTCTTTGTAGGAAATAAAGAGACAGAGAGAGTTCTCAGGATTTCTAGAAAAAGGGTTACCCTAAGAATTGAAGAATTGGAGTTATATGAACTGAGATTTCCAGCAATCCCCATATCTGTAATTCTATCAAATGAATTCTGCCTGGAGGCACAGACAGAGACGTGCACAGTGAACACCAAATTGGGGAGAGAGAGAATGATGTGAAGTGTGTAAAAAAGAAAAGAATAAGAAGAAGATGGATGGTTGGGTATATAAGTTAATGTAGGGTTAACTGTTTTTTATTTCATGTGGTTTTGACTTGAAGAATAAAATTATACACATTACTCCCTTTATAATTATATATTACAGTAAAATAATTGATGTTGTTAATGGAATTAAAAAATTATTATAATACACTCATTTTAAAATTAGATTTTTTATCTGATTTACTTTTGACCATAAAACTAAAGAAACATAACAACAAATTAACACATTTCAATCAAACATATTGAGCCTATTTTTTCCTAGAGTGAGGTTTTAATCTGGGGTTGAAAATTACTTATGTTTTTCTTATAATTTTTTTATTTGGGACTGATGCTCTACACATTTAGATATACTAGTTGATGCACACGTGCGTTGCACGTGGATTAATTTGTTGCAATAAACAAATAACTATAATAACATATATACTGATGGAGCCCAACATTAGATGAATCCAATTATAAAATTGTCTCCATTGGCAATTATACATTGCGTAACATGCAATTCTTCTTAATATAAGCAGATTGAGAACAATTTTTTTTTAAAAAAATTGCTTTGAACTTCTACCCACTTTTAAAGAGACCATTTGAGAATAACTCTTTTCTTCATTATAATGGTTGTAGAAATATAAATGTCAAGAACAACCTATGACTGAGGAATCCCCTTGACCATTTATGCTGCTCATGTACCAGTGAACCACATGTAACTTCAAAATCCAATGTTCTTATATTAAATGAATGGCAACTCCACACAAACATGTAATTACAAGATGCTGATATGCAAGGTCATGTAATTAAAGTCATACTAAAGGATTAGAGAAGGAAAGGCAAGTTACATTCATGATCTTGGTTATACATTGTTTCTAATGAAAACAAAATCAAAGCACTAAACGGCAATTGTCTAACCAAAAAGGTAAATTGAAGTATTGCCTCATAAATCCAACAAACTCATGTTTGGTATATAAATAACAAGTCTAGGGTTTGAAACCTAGCTTGCTTTAGGGATGGTAAGTAAACCCATGTTCATGGGTTTTATGAAACCCAGTGGGGGAGTAAGTTTCATATGTGGGTTAAAAGATTTAACATATAGATAACATTTATACCCTCATATATCAAATATACCTCATATTATCCAAATTGGTTAAAGGATACAATAATCATTTATATACAAATATATTATCATAATAGTCATATATTCATGCGCATACCAAACATGGGTATAGACAACATTAAATGTTGAATCTGATCTTTGGGTTTGAAAGAGTTTGGACAAGTTAATTCAAACCTTTCCCAAAAAATATACCAAACATGCTCTAAATCCTCCAGTAATAAGTTGTGGGGTCTCAAATGCAGAATTAAAGAGAGATGGAGAGGGGGAGGTGAAGGAAGTGTTGTGCAAATTTATGAAAACGCAAGGAGAGAGAGAAAGTAACAGCCAAGAGGAAGCACAAGAGGGAGAGAGAGACTGGTGAGCCTGCTATTGAATGTGAAGGATATGGATAACATAATTGTCTTGTTGTAGGGTAAAAGTGAAATTTTTTTTTTTTAGATATACTCACTTTTTTATAGGGAGGAGAGAGAAAGACTGGTGAGCCTACTATTGAACGTGAAAGATATGGATGACATAATTGTGTTGTTGGAGGGTAAAAGTGAAAAAAAAAATATTTTTCAGATATACTCACGTTTTAGAGTAGTATAGATAATATATTATAAAAGGTATTTTAGACACTTAGATAATATTCTTTTAGAGGGGAATAATAGAAACAAATCCCATAATATATTTTGGGTGTGTGATTCACACTTTACGTTTTTACTTTGGTATTGCATAATTTTAAAGTTGAATTACAAATCATACCTTTAAGTATTGATGAGGTTCTTATTTGATCCCTAGAATTTCGATTTGCTCAATTTAGTTCTTAAAGTATTGACTTTATTTTCATGAGAGACTTTTGTTCATATTTATCATAAACACCAAACGGTCAGTTAAATTTAAAGGGGCATTTTTCATCGAATTTTCCCGTTACCTTGACTTGCAACCATTGTCTATGCCAAAAACACAAAAAAAATGAAAAATGCTCAAATATGAGTTAACAATAAATTTATTACCAATGCCCAAATTTATTAATAAAAAATTTATTAATTTTGGGTAATGATAATTAATTTTATAATAATTTATTAAATTTTGTAATAATTAATTTATAAAATTAAATAATTATTATAAATTAATTTAATAATAAATTTTTATCAAATTTGAGCCCATATCTGAGGTCAACTCATTTATAATAATTTATTAATAAAAAAAATAAGCAATTAATAAAAATTTATAAATATTCATATAAATATAAACATGATATTATACATTTGAAATATTCGTTATAAATATTAAATAAAAAATTAATTATCAATTATCACTGTCCAAAATTAAATATTTATAAATTTTAATTATCACTACCTTTTATAAAGTTTATAAATTTATTATCACCATCCAAATTTATGAATAATTTATTATAAATGAGTTAACAAAATAATTATTTACTCGTCAGATATAAATTAATATAACTATGGTTAAAGTGTTAGGTAAAGACAATGAAAAAGTCAGACAAAAATGTCTCTTTGAATTTAATTGATTGTTTGGTATTTATGATGAATATGGACGGAACTCTTTCATAGAAATAAAATTAATATTTTAAGAATTAAATTGAGCAAATTGAAACTCCATGGATCAAATAAGAAACGCATCAATACTTTAAGGGTTTGATTTAAATTTGCTTTTTATTTGATTTATAATTCATCATAATTTTAAACGTCAAATAGATAAAATGTATCTAATCGAAACCACGTAGAGGTAAAAATAATTAACCTTTTAATGTATATAGATAAAGAATAAAAGTGTTTGGATGCATTTATTATTGTAAAATACAAACAATGTCCTTAAAGAGATGCATGTGATAGGCACATGGTAGTTTCTTAATGTTTTTTTTAACGGCATTTAGTGGTAAGAACCATATTGACTCACTATTTGATAATATTGAAAATTTAAGTATCAAAGTGAGATAAGTGGTAAATTTTAGGTACCATCAGTGCAATTTACCTAACTGGCAAGCATACGAGGTTGCTTGGGAGCCTCCATCAGTCAGAATCTTTGTAAATCTCACGCAAGGCTCGTTTTATATATAGTTATCATTGATCCAAAGTCACACCCAAGAGAGAGCTAATTGATGAGTACCCAAATGGCGAAGGAAGAGCAAAATGAAGCAAGCTCCGTGGCCGCGGATCTGGTCAGCTTCTTAAACGCCTCTCCCACAGCTTTCCACGCAGTTGGTAACGCTTTCTTTCCCATCAGTTTTCCATAGCTTAGTCTTAATTTAATTTTCTCAGAGGTTGCTGGGAAAATGTTGAATGAAATCAAAGTTGTTGGTTTTGATTAGGACTTTTGATTTTTGCAGACGAAGCAAAGAAGCGATTGAGGAGTGCGGGGTATGAGCAGGTTTCAGAGAGGGAGGATTGGAGTTTAGAGACTGGGAAGAAATATTTCTTCACCAGGAATCACTCAACAATTGTCGCTTTTGCTATTGGTAAAAAGTACGGTGTAGATTCACTGATTAGTTTGATTATTCATGGCTTGAATTCAATTCGTTCGTCTACTACTTTTTGACGACTCTCGACTGGGTTGCTGAGAAAATTGAAGGAAATAAGAGAAAGCGAAAATTTGAAATTTTGGGTTTTTGTATGTGGAAGAATTTCTGGTTTGGTCAAGTTCAACTGTTCAAGTAATAACTTACATGTGCTTTCAGCTTTATACTTCAGCACTTTCCTACAGCCAAATTGGAAAATTTTTGAGGATTTCTTGACGCACTATATCCAGTGCAAATAAGTTTGTCTTATAGTTTATTGGATTCTTTTACTTTTGCAAACTGATATTATAGAACTGTTGTTTAGATATGTTGCTGGGAACGGATTCCATGTAGTTGGTGCTCACACTGACAGTCCCTGTTTGAAACTGAAGCCTGTTTCGAAGGTAATTTCGTGTTTCTGTTGTTATTAGCTGTAGCCATATGTAGAATACTCTTCTTAAGAGATCCATTTCAGAACAACCAAATTTTGGTGTGGAATCTTGATGGCTTTAGGTATCAAAAGGTGGGTATTTGGAAGTTGGTGTCCAAACATATGGAGGTGGTTTGTGGCATACATGGTTTGATCGTGACTTAACTGTTGCTGGAAGAATAATAGTACGAAGAGAGAATGATGATGGTTCTGATTCCTACTCACATGAACTCATTAGGATTGAAGAGCCCTTAATGCGGATCCCAACACTGGCTATTCACTTGGACGGGTACTACTATTTTAGAAGTGATTAATACAGTTGGTGGATGACAAGTGGTGTAGTTTTGGGATATCAGTTGCATGAATGGCTCAAGAAGCATCTTTGTTTTGCCTCTGTTGGACAGGGACGTCAGGGATGCATTCAAGGTGAACACACATAATCATCTTGTTCCAGTCTTGGCGACATCAATTAAGGTAATTTTTCTGTTGTGTTGGTTTTTGTCAAATTATTTCCCCTTGGGGTGGAGGGTGTTTGATAAGACAGATTCATGATTCATCTGCATTTTTATATTGCTTTTCTGCACTGGTGCACTTGACTGATTCAATTTGGTAGGCCGAGCTAAATAAACTGGCTGCTGAGAATGGTCCTGTTGAAAGTGGAGTTGCAACTGATGGAAAGAAAGATAACGAAAAGCACCATCCCCTCCTTTTGCGGGTAATGAACTGTGCAGTTAAGGATGTCAATACTTATTGCTTCCTTCCTGTTATTCTATATTTTTGACTCTCTCGTTCAGAGTTCACGCTTAAGAGAAAAATTTCCTAAACACACACATTGCTACTACTGCGAGGGAAATTCAGCTTAGACATTGGAGATTTTGGGTTTCATCCGATTGTGATTATTGTGCTAATTTTTCTCTTTCTTTTAGATTCTTGCAAATCAGGCTTGCTGTGAACCACAGGACATATGTGATTTTGAGTTGCAAGCATGCGATACTCAGCCAAGTATAGTTGCTGGTGCAATGAAGGAGTTCATTTTCTCTGGAAGACTTGATAATCTTTGCATGTCATTTTGCTCTTTAAAGGTATGTGCTGTTAGATGTGTTAAAAGCAGATAGATCCGGTTACAACGTGGGGTTATGGGCATTCTTTCTTTCCTTGGGTGCAAGTATTAAGTACATAGGAAGAGTGCTATATATATTACTTACCAACCTTTTTTTCCAAAATTTAATGTGCTGTAGGATATATGGTGCTTGTTTCTCATGCCATGATAAAGGAAACCTTTGCACTCAATCTATTTGCTAATAAGAGTATTTGTTAGAGAACCTTCCAGATGCAACTTTATTTCTGGTGTGACTGGCATAAGTTATAGAAATAATGGAGTTATCAATCACGCAATCTGGGGTTCTTTTGACGTACACACGTAGTGTCATGGTCTAAACTTGTCTCCTATATCTAAAGTCTAGTTATTGACAGTATATTAACTGGCTCTGTTGTCAATATTCAGTGGTGCCTTCTCATACTTAATCAGGCTAAAAAACAAAATATGCGGCGTCTTGAAATAATTTATATTGTAAAGTTCCAATTCTCTTCACAACTTCAATCAGCAATTTCCGGGTTTGACTTGATGCTTGATGCTTGATGCGTGACCTACGTATGGAGTAGCATGGCAGAGCAGAATGTATGGTTGAGTTGAACTAGGTATCTTCACATTCACTAATGAATTACTTGGCTACCTCTTCTGTGATGCTACTGGGTTGGTTGACATCTGTGTTGTGTTTTGGGATTCAGCCCCACAATCCTGTCAAGTCATTGTGTCACCTTTCAGTATTACCTAACCAAAATATCTGGCCTCCAGTTTGAAGTTTGGATTAAGTCCTATTATCTACATGTAGTATGCACATTAATTATTGCTATCATTTGGATCTCTCTTTCTCTACATCAAAGTCTTATTACCTACATGTAGTCTTATTATTACATGTTCATAAAGTCCCGCAGCCCAGTTACATATTAGTATACTGATGCTAATTTTATGAATTCTGGCCTCCCAACAACCCAACTCTACTCCCCACCCCTGAACAAAGAGGAACAGTGGTTTTACCACTGTCACCATACAGGCAGCTGAGTTAAACTAACTGAACCAAACTTGTCAGTGAAATAAGCGACAAGCCTGAAAAAAAACTTGTGTCATGAGTGTGCCAAGTGCATATAAACCTGGATTTTATGAAACATCTAAGTTGGCTTTAATCATCTTGGTGGCCTGCTTCTTGTAGTTGAACTTGAAATCACCGTAATGCTTTTGTTATACTTCCCATTACCTGTGTTGCATGTGTGTGTGGGAGAGAATTGTTTTAAAAGGTAAAGCACATTTTCCAATGATGGATTATATTTCAGGCATTGATAGATGCTACTTCTTCTGAAAGTAGTCTCGGAGATGAGACAGGTGTAAGAATGGTGGCTTTGTTTGACCATGAGGAGGCTGGATCTAATTCAGCCCAAGGAGCTGGATCTCCTGCCATGTTGGATGCTCTATCCCGAACTACAAGTTCCTTCAGCTCAGATTCTAAGGTACCAATTTCTCCATATCCATTTTGCACTTTAAATTTAGTTTAGCATTGTCTTGATTAGTTACATTTTCTAACATGTCGATTCGCATTTTCAATATTGTTTTGATCATGAAGTAAGAATTTTTTTTCGTAGAATGCTGTTTTTAAGACACATGGTGGACATTATCACATGAAATGACTTCATGATGTCCACTGAGAAGTTTGTCAGACATAACTTCTGAAAATTCTTGCAAGTGAACTTGCAGTGTGTTTTTCCTAATTCCATCTTCTCCCATTTGTTGAACGTAAGAATGACTTCTGCAAAATAAATGAAATATACACTTCGTCCTTTTCTTTAGCAAGTTTTTTCATTTCACAAATTATTGATTTCTAATTGCAATTTTTCAGGCCAACAATATCACCAGATTGATTGATACTCAGATAAATAGGCACTCTCTTTTGTTTCATATTTTTTATTCTGAAATTGGTTCAGCAAATCCTGTAGTGCAATATTAGCAATGGTTTTGGCATTTAAGGTGGGTTTCTCGAACAACATAGTCAATTTTTAAAATTCTAAAATCCAATATCCAAATTAAGTAGAGATAGATTGATTTCTTGATGAAGAGTTTAGTTGTAACAACTCAGCTTCAGAATTTATTGCATTTTGTAGCTACAGTTCAGAAGCTGTGGCATAGCATATGAAAAATTTTGGTTTCAATTTGTGTCTTGAATGCTGCCAGGGATATGCCAAGACTACTTGACATGGACAAGCTCAAAATAAACCAAAATTGCATTTGTGAAGAAAGATAAACAGTGTGAATTTCTTTACTAATTTCTGTTGCTTCTTACTGGAGGAGTGCATATTTTAAGTGCATTAGTACAGAATTGCCTATAGAGATGAGCTAAGTGATAATTACCGGCTTGGTGTAAACACCCCCCCCCTCCCTTCCACAAAAACAAAAACAAAGAAGAACAAGAAAATTCCCTAGAAGTTTGCTGCTATGATCTCTTTTATTACTACCTATAAAAAGCAAAATTGGCATCACAGTAGCAAAAAATGGTAGTGCTAAGAAATTCATGTCGTTACATCTTTTCTCCTGAAACCTCCAAAGGAATCCTATGTGGTGGTCAAGGTGTCATTGTACTTTCAAATGGCTAGTGCTCTCAGCTGGGATCTTTAGATTGGCAGCCCCCCCCCCCCCCCCAAAAAAAATAAAAATAAATAAATAATTGTGCCATCACGGGAGACCAAATTGCTGAATTTTGTGGCATGAGTAGCTTTCACAAACACTTATTTAATATAAGCACTTATTTATTTGTTTATCTGTTGCTGTCGTTATTGTTTTTAGTTGGCGTTTGATTGCTTTTTTCTTCTTTTGCAATGCTATGATTTATATTCAGTTACTTGAGAAAGCAATTCAGAGGAGTTTCCTGGTATCTGCTGATATGGCACATGCCTTACATCCTAACTACATGGTATGTTATTCTTAAACTCTGTTTCCAGTTATACATACCTTTTTATAATATGGGGTTCCTTCTCAGGACAAACATGAAGAAAACCATCAGCCCAAGTTGCATGGGGGGCTTGTGATCAAACATAATGCGAATCAACGTTATGCCACCAATGCTGTCACTTCCTTCATATTTCGGGAGATAGCAGCTAAGCACAAGCTTCCTGTTCAGGTGACAGATCTCCCTAACCCAGTTAATGTGTTTGCGTATGATACTGGAGTTCATGAGTGTGATAACAAGGAAGATTTTGTTTAGTTGGTTGTGGTTCAAAATTTCAGAGCCATCCAATTTATTCTATTTTATTTGCAAAGCATTTGAAGGCCCTTTTCCATTTTTTTGTACCAAGCGAAAACATACTCGAGCAAAAGTCATATCAAATGCTTTTTCTTTTGGGGTTTCACAATTAAACATTCAAGGCACCTCATCCACATACTACAGATTATCCTCTATATGCAAAAAAAAAAAATTTCAACTGCTGCGTACTACAAAGGGGAGGTGGTTAGACTTGCTGTATTATATAAATTCCTATTCATAAATTGCTCTCATCAAATCTAATCAATCACGGATCACCGTTCTCATGAGCAGACAATGTGAAAAAGAAAAAGAAAAAGTGGACGTTTATTTTGAGGAATAAAATTGGGACACTACTGTTTGCATATTCAAGGTGATGACATAGTAGAATAATTTATAATTTCCTAGCAATTTGTGCGATGCAGGATTTTGTGGTTCGCAATGACATGCCATGTGGTTCAACCATTGGCCCCATTCTGGCTAGTGGTGTAGGGATTCGTACTGTTGACGTTGGTGCCCCCCAACTATCAATGCACAGCATTAGAGAAATGTGTGCAGTTGATGATGTGAAGCATTCATACGAGCATTTCAAGGCCTACTTCCAAGAGTTCTCGTATCTTGATGCCAAGATTACTGTGGACATTTAGGTCTCTGCGCCTAATCTCACATGGGAATGCTAATACCTCATGCTGTCAAACATTTGCGCACTTTTATTCCTGCTTCGAACTACTTGAAAACATTTCTGATGTCACACATGGCTGCTTGATGAACCATTGTAATGTGGTGTGATTGCAAGCCAGTTAGTTTATATCAGTTGGATCTATCGTTTGTCTTTCATTTTTCCTAGATTTTGTTTCTGCTCATAACAATACATGTACCAACAAACTCCATGAGAGCTCTATTATCTTGGGTGATCGTCAGCTCTTAATTTGTCTTTGCCACAACACGAACACGATGTCAATGGTGTTCTTTGCAGGACATGGAAGTGGGTCCTTGGTAATAGCTGCTAGATTTATGAAGGGAACTTAAAAGGTTGTTACCTCTGAAACCATTTTAGAAGTTGCAAGAGAGCTTGCATTCTTGATTTCATTGAGCTGGGTCTGGTTTATTTCTAGTTCTATACTGGTTTTTCATGAGGACTTGATCAAATATATAATGGCAAGTGGCAACATTTAGCCTGTAAGGATCGTTTTCAAGGGTATGTGCAGGGCTGGTAATTGTAACTCGCCAATTCAATATGAAATTGATATAAAATTAATGTAATATTTAAACTATAAATATCATGTTTAACTTTTAAAGTTATGCACAAAACATTCAAATTCTTAACATGATTTATAAAGCTAATACAAAATTAATGCAAAGTTATGAAGTATAGATTTATCCGATCCAACATAAAATTAAATCATCAAATTTCGTTTAATCAATAGAATGACACAATATACACTTTTACGTGATTTATAAGACACAATATAAACTCGTCTATATATAACTATATAAATGAGAAATGTATGTTAAACAAATTTTAGTATAGACCCAACAGACCCATTACCATCTCTAGGAATGTGTACCACAGAAGCCACATGTAACTAGCTTAATCTAAAGAGGATCAAACTGGGTTTTATGATGCATTAAGAGGCGTTGGATCCACTGGGTGAGTGACCGACACCATGGCCAATGGGAGGATAAAGGCAGAGAGAAAGCCAAGAGACACTAAAGAAGAGGAGTGTGAGACTTGGCT